GTATTTTTGTAGAGACGGGATTTCACCATGTTGGCCAGGCTGATCTCGAACTCCTGACCTCAGGTGATCCACCCACCTCAGACTCCCAAAGTGCTGGGATTACAGGCATGAGCCACTGCACCGAGCCACACACTGGCCCTTAATCTAGTTCCTTTTCACTTTTTTCTTCTTTTTTTCAAGCAACACCAGCCTGAGAATAATCCACATTCTGTTCTGAAAATGTTATCTTTTCATAATGCACATCAATTGTGCTTCATATTCTAAGTTATGTGTACTATCTAAGCACTTCGAATAAAGCTTATAAAAGTCATTAGTTTAATATTGTGTACTGCTTGTTTTATAGAGATATCACTGATGTAAATACCATTTGGTATCTCATGAACATTTTTCTAAATGGAAAGTTCTTAATAATTTACCAGTGAGGGGCGGGCAATAGGATAGATTAAAACATAGCTTTTATTCAATATAAGTAATATAGAAGTTAATAAGAGACAAATTCCAACTCTAATTAGCTGACCCATATTCTGTTTCTTAATAGGAATCAACCCTCAAAAGCGTATTGAGTGCCTTATGGAATTTGTCAGCACATTGCACTGAGAATAAAGCTGATATATGTGCTGTAGATGGTGCACTTGCATTTTTGGTTGGCACTCTTACTTACCGGAGCCAGACAAACACTTTAGCCATTATTGAAAGTGGAGGTGGGATATTACGGAATGTGTCCAGCTTGATAGCTACAAATGAGGACCACAGGTATATACAGAGTTTTATATTACTTTTAAAATATAGAATTTATACTCTCAAAAAGGCTTAATTGTAAGCAATGTTTTATATAATCATAAGTTTTAAGCCAAAATATATTTATTACTGTGAAAAGATAACTACTAACTCTTAGTTTAACTCATTAGTGTACTTAATATATAACAGTTTATAGTATCATAAAGGAGACTGAGCAAACGATACTTGAGAGGTATAGCCCATATGTGGAGGAAAAAATAGTCACAAATATTAGAACAAAGTAATCACTTTCTATTAGTATAGTATAAAAGACCGTGAAAACAAAATTTAAAACAAGACAAAAACTATGAGCATGATCCAGAGAATGTAAATGTGAACTGGGTGCAGTTCACATTTTTCTAATGCTGTCTTAGTATCAATAATCATAATAATTTTTTTTTTTTTTTTTTTTTTTAAACTGTGAAGCCATTAACACAGGATGGTGACCTCACTGCAGGATCAAACAGAGCAGCTGGCTGGGGAAAAAAAAAAAAAAAAGCTGAGAGTTGAAAGTGCAGACAGGGCTGGGTGCTGAGTGGATAGATGGGGTTAGAGGACAGATGTCTGAATGAGAAAACCAAGCCTGGGAGACTTAGGCAAGAGCTAGCACAGCCACCTGTCATGCCCAGAGCTGGGACTGGGGGGCTTTGCCGTGGCCCGGTTGGCAGGGGGTTGGGGACAAATCCTGAAAGGAGATGGTGTGGTTAGATGTAAGTAAGAACTTTTATTTCCATATGGTGCTTGGGGTGGGGTCTGATGGGGGCTACAGGGAGGTGCTCCCTGGTCCCCACCCCTACAGCTGCCGATAGGGCCTAAAGATGTACAATAAGTGGGTCTTTCGGGGGAACAGTCTGGAGTGGGAGAAGCCCTGGGTCCCCTCTTTTAAGACATCTTCACGGGTCCCCTCACGGAGCCCATCGCGGATGGCCTGTAGGCGGTGTCGCTTCTCGCTAAGCCAGTGGCCACCCTCCGGGACATCCTGGTGGGACCTCCGCTGTGGCAGCTTCATGATCCAGAAGGCCACCCGGGGATGGAGTTCTGCATGGAAGCTGTTCATGGCCTTCCGGATAGGCACCAGGGCCTCCTTCTCCTCCATCCTGGGTACCTGGGGAGGAAGAACAAGGAGACCCTTTCATACTCCAAACAGCACCCCAGGATGGCCAGTCCCCACTGACCTATTCAGCCCACTTTGCAGATGACAGGGTGCTTTTTGGTTTCAAAAGCCCTGTTTGAGGTTTACAAAGCACTTGGGTTTACACTTAAGGACTAAAAATACTCTGAGGTTTATAGAATGCTTTGGGACGGAAATTCATTTGGGGGCTTTCAGAAGGGAGGTAATAGAGCACTTCAGGGATTATAATGCCTGTTGGGATTACAGAGCACTTTAGGGTTAAATCCTCTCTGAGGTTTAGAGGCTAACAGTTTAAAATGTACAAAGCACTTTGGGACTAAAAACTCTTGGGTTTACTGAAGACTCAGGACCACAAATGCAGTGTGTGATCCTTCATTGATCCTGGATCAAAAGCTTTCAAGGACAGCTTTGAGTCAAGGGAGGAAGTTTGAATACAGACCGAGCGTCTGTTTGGTCCTTGCAGTTCAAAGGGTGGGCTGCTGTTGTGAGTATACAAATTAATGGGTCCCACCCCACCCAGACCTGCTGAATCAGAGTCTGCCTTTTAGTTGATGAGGTCTGAGAAGTCCTGGAGGAGACTGTTGTCGGTTAAATTGTTTCCTTCTGACCAGGCTCAGTGGCTCACCCCTGTAATCCCAGCACTTTGGGAGACTAGGGTGGGCAGATCACAAGGTCAGGAGTTGGAGACCATCCTGGCCAACATGACAAAACCCCATCTCTACTAAAAATACAACAAATAGCCAGACATGATGGCACATGCCTGTAATCCTAGCTACTTGGGAGGCTGAGGTGGGAGAATCGCTTGAACCCGGGAGGCGGAGCCTGCAGTGAGCCGAGATCATGCCACTGCATTCCAGCCTGGGTGACAGTGCGAGATCCAGTCAAAAAAAAACTACATTGTTTCCTCCCCAAATTAATATTTTGAAATCCTAACCTCTAATACCTCAGAATGTGGCCTTATTTGGAACTAGGGTCATTGCAGATAGTTAGTGAAGATGAGGTCATTAGATTTGGCCCTAATCCAACATAACTGGTGTTCTTTTTTTTTTTTTTTTTTTTGAGATGGGGTCTGGCTCTGTTGCCATGGCTGGAGTGCAGTGGCACAATCTCAGTTCGCTGCAGCCTCTGCCTCCCGGGTTCAGACAGTTCTCCCACCACAGTCTCCAGAGTAGCTGGGATTACAGGGGCACACCACCATGCCAGCTACTTTTTCCATTTTCAGTAGAGATGGGGTTTCACCACATTGGCCAGGCTGGTCTTAAACTCCTAACCTCAGGTGATCTGCCCACCCCAGCCTTCCAAAGTGCTGGGATTACAGGTGTGAGCCATCGCACCCAGCCTGTGACTAGTGTTCTTATGCAAAGGGAAAATTCGGACACAGATGCACACAGGAGTACAGCAGATGGAGACAAAGGCAGAGATCATAACCAAAGAACACCAAAGGTGGCCAGCAAAGCACCAGATTGTCCCTCACAGCCTCAGAAGGAACCACCCCTGCTGACACCTTGATCTTCAATGTTCAGCTTCCAGAATTGTGAGACCATCAATTTCTGTTAGAGCCACCCAGTTTGTGGTACTTTGTTTTTTTTTTTTTAAGATGGGTTTTCACCATNTTTTTGAGACAGTGTCTCACTCTGTCACCTGGGCTGGAGAACAGTGTTGCAACCTCAGCTCACTGCAGCCTCCACCTCCTGAGTTCAAGCAATTCTCCCACCTTAGCCTCCCAACTAGCTGGAACTACAGATGCACGCCACCACACCAGGCTAATTTTTCTGTTTAGGTAGAGATGGGATTTCACCATGTTGTCCAGCTGGTCTTGAATTCCTGGCCTCAAGTTACCCGCTGGCCTCAGCCTCTCTAAGTGCTGGGATTATAGGCATGAGCCACCATGTCCAGCTAATAATCATAGTATTATTTCACTAATAGCCATTCATCCAGTCTGCTAGAGTTGCAGAATCTAAGAGAGTGCCTCAGATACAGGGCACACGTTTTCGGATCTCTGACTCTGTATTATGTCAACAAAAATACAACTGTCTTTTTTGTTTGTTTTTGGAGATGGAGTATCGCTCTTTTGCCCAAGGTGGAGTGTAGTGGCGCAATCTCTGCTTACTGCAGCCTCTGCCTCTGGGGTTCAAGTGATTCTCCTGATCACAGAATCTAGATTTGTAGATTTATTTTTCTACTCTACCTTCACCTGTATTTTATACTTTTTGGTCCCTCACTTTTGCTTTTACTACTCCCAAGTTGCTGGGTTTACAGGTACCCACCACCATGCCCGACTAATTTTTGTATTTTTAGTAGAGATGGGATTTCACCATGTTAGCCAGGCTGGCCTTGAACTCCTGACCTTAGGTGATCTGCCGACCTTGGCCTTCCAAAGTGGTGGGATTATAGGCATGGGCAGCTGGCCAAAAATATGGGTATCTTTTATAGCTTATTCACTTTTAAGTTTTTGATGCAAAAACTACAAGCCTCGTCTCCTTTTCTGCTATGCAAAGAAGATTTCTTAAGTCTAGTAACTACTGACTGGACTGCTGAGAGAAGACCACCATGTTAAAGCTTATTGTGTACCCTTGTTAGTCAGTTTTAAAGCCCACTAAAGCTGAATATGCTGTTATTAATCTTCAGTTTGCCTGCATTAAACAAGCTGTTGTTCTTTCAAGTCCCAGAGTTAATTATGCTGAGTCTCACTTTTTGTTTTTATATGCCTTAAATGTTTTGAAAACTTTCTTACTTTATTTAAAAAAAAAAGCACAAAGTCTGCCAAAGAGCACTTTTTTTTTTTTTTTTTTTTTTTTGAGATGCATTCTCATTCTGTTGCCCAGGCTGGAGTACAGTGGTTTGATCTCGGCTCATTGCACTTCCGCCTCCCAAGTAATTTCTCTTTGCTCAGCCTCCTGAGTAGCTGGGACTACAGGCGTGTGCCACCATATTCGGCTAATTTTTGTATTTTTAGTAGAGACAGGGTTTTACCATGTTGCCCAGGCTGGCCTCAAACGCCTAACCTCAGGTGATCTGCCCTCTTCAGCCTCCCAGAGTGCTGGAATTACAGGGTTGAGCCACTGTGCCCAGCCAAGAGCACTTGTAAGAGGGATGGCAGTATCACAAAATCAAGGCAGAGATACAGAGATTAAATGTAAGTGTGCTAATCTAAGAGCTTATAATATGCTGACTGCAGAAAGATCTTCAGTCAATTCTATCTACCTCTTCCAAGATGTCTCAATATCAATATCAGAGTGACACTCAACCATAGATGAAGTTACCAGAAAGTCCCTATTCAACATAGGATTTCATGATTTATTTATAGTTTTTAAATGGGGAAACTGTTACCATATGAACAGAGTAAATGTATTTGCCCTACCCCCTGCAACTGTTTTAAGCTATTGAGTCAGAATAGGAAATGTAGAATTGATAAAAAAATAACCTTTACTTTTTTTCATGTGACAGATTAGTACTTTAAAACAATAAACATTAAATGAAATAAGAAAAAAAAGGAGATGTGGAATACTTGGAATTTATAGGATAATTGGTACAATCATATTATGCCTATTGTTTTCTATCCTTTTATTTGTTGTTACTGCATACACATTTTGATGTTAATTTTGTGATCTCTTATTTCAGGCAAATCCTAAGAGAGAACAACTGTCTACAAACTTTATTACAACACTTAAAATCTCATAGTTTGACAATAGTCAGTAATGCATGTGGAACTTTGTGGAATCTCTCAGCAAGAAATCCTAAAGACCAGGAAGCATTATGGGACATGGGGGCAGTTAGCATGCTCAAGAACCTCATTCATTCAAAGCACAAAATGATTGCTATGGGAAGTGCTGCAGCTTTAAGGAATCTCATGGCAAATAGGCCTGCAAAGTATAAGGATGCCAATATTATGTCTCCTGGTTCAAGCTTGCCATCTCTTCATGTCAGGAAACAGAAAGCCCTAGAAGCAGAATTAGATGCTCAACATTTATCAGAAACTTTTGACAATATAGACAATTTAAGTCCCAAGGCATCTCATCGCAGTAAGCAGAGACACAAGCAAAGTCTCTATGGTGATTATGTTTTTGACACCAATCGACATGATGATAATAGGTCAGAAAATTTTAATACTGGCAACATGACTGTCCTTTCACCATATTTGAATACTACGGTGTTACCCAGTTCCTCTTCATCAAGAGGAAGCTTAGATAGTTCTCGTTCTGAAAAAGATAGAAGTTTGGAGAGAGAACGAGGAATTGGCCTAGGCAACTACCATCCAGCAACAGAAAATCCAGGAACCTCTTCAAAGCGAGGTTTGCAGATTTCCACCACTGCAGCCCAGATTGCCAAAGTCATGGAAGAGGTGTCAGCCATTCATACCTCTCAGGAAGACAGAAGTTCGGGGTCTACCACTGAATTACATTGTGTGACAGATGAGAGAAATGCACTTAGAAGAAGCTCTACTGCCCATACACATTCAAACACTTACAATTTCACCAAGTCAGAAAATTCAAACAGGACATGTTCTATGCCTTATGCCAAATTAGAATATAAGAGATCTTCAAATGATAGTTTAAATAGTGTCAGTAGTAGTGATGGTTATGGTAAAAGAGGTCAAATGAAACCCTCAATTGAATCCTATTCTGAAGATGATGAAAGTAAGTTTTGCAGTTATGGTCAATACCCAGCTGACCTAGCCCATAAAATACATAGTGCAAATCATATGGATGATAATGATGGAGAACTAGATACACCAATAAATTACAGTCTTAAATATTCAGATGAGCAGTTGAACTCTGGAAGGCAAAGTCCTTCACAGAATGAAAGATGGGCAAGACCCAAACACATAATAGAAGATGAAATAAAACAAAATGAGCAAAGACAATCAAGGAGTCAAAGTACAACTTATCCTGTATATACTGAGACCACTGATGATAAACACCTCAAGTTCCAACCACATTTTGGACAGCAGGAATGTGTTTCCCCATACAGGTCACGGGGAGCTAATGGTTCAGAAACAAATCGAGTAGGTTCTAATCATGGAATTAATCAAAATGTAACCCAGTCTTTGTGTCAAGAAGATGACTATGAAGATGATAAGCCAACCAACTATAGTGAACGTTACTCTGAAGAAGAACAGCATGAAGAAGAAGAGAGACCAACAAATTATAGCATAAAATATAATGAAGAGAAACATCATGTGGAT